GCCATATTTATGGCCAGGCTAAGCGGCGTCCGTGGCGTTGCGAGTCTGACTCGTAATCCAACGTACCGCGATCGAAACCTACTGCTGGTTGCGTGGATTTTTATCATGGTATGGGACGTCGCAGGTCGATCCAGCCTCAAATGGGTACCAGGATGGGCTGTCCTGGGAAAGTAAAGGCGGCCGGCGTAATGCTGACCACATTACCCACCGAGTGCCGATTGGTCTGTAAAAGTATGGGTGCTCTTTCCATATGCCCGATGCGCCTTAGAGCGTGTGAAATGATTTTTTTTTAATGGTCAGGCTATATTGCGGCCTCTGGCAAGAGCCAGTGTAGGGCTTCAAAATAACGAAAAATTTCTTCCTAAAAGGACGGGATATAACTGCTCGCAGAAATAACTAATCAGTGACTGGCTGACTGACTTTCTAACCCACCAGGACAGCACACAAACGATAGACACCCAAGGACACAAAGTGCTACCATGTGGATGAGGATCACCATGGAGAGGTCCCAGAAACCGCGTTCAGACAATTGGCCATATTTATGGCCTGCCTATTTTGCGGCCCCTGGCAAAACCAGGGTAGGGCTTCAAACGACAAAAAATTTCGTCCTAAAACTGTATGTGTGATGAAACTAATCAGAATGAATGAATGAATGAATTTCTACCCCACCAGGACATCACACAAGCGATAAACACCCGATGACACAAAGTGCCACCATGCGGATGAGGATCGCCGTGGAGAGGTCCCAGAAACCGCGTTCAGACATTTGGCCATATTTATGGCCTGCCTATATTGCGGCCCCTGGCAAAAGCCAGAGTAGGGCTTCAAATGACAAAAAATTTCGTCCTAAAACTGGATGTATAACGAAACTAATCAGACGGCTTTTACGACGTACGTGAAAAGGCTGGAGGAAGAGGAGCAGCAGGTCTAATTTTGTTTCTCTGCGATGGTGTTCCTGAAACCAGATGAGTGAGGAAAGGGGTGGCATTTAATAACCTGACATTTCAAAATGTTACTCATCTGGCAACTGTTGTCATTTCGTCACATTGCTTACTGTCCTCTCTTGCAGCATTGGGAAGGCACATACTATACAAGACGGAAGAGTGGTGATTATATCCCCTTCCACTGCAGAGTCACGCCAGTTATAGAACCTAGTGGGTAAGTGAACAATCACAGTCAGGTATCTATGGTAAACTAAGTAAAGTAAAAGACCTATTTTCCATTCCCTCAGTTAAAAAGGGAGGGGACTTTTTTACGCCATCGGGCATATAATGCGAAACTGCTGTTTTATATAAGAGCTATCTGTCGATGATGAGGTTAACATCACGCCAAACGTCTTTAATTTCTATCACTTTTCCTTCTTCTTTTTCTGCCTTGTTTCCTCCAGTGGAGAATAGGCACTCAACCTATTCCTTTGCACTTGCATGCAGCTCACCTCATCCCATCTTTTTGACTTCACTCTCCAGCTCTTTTCTTTGTGTGTTTCGGTGCTCCGGTGGATTTCCAGCGCAAAGACGTTCTAGTTATATTATTCCCAGGTTTTGTCAACGTGTGCCCCATTTAACACCAGTGTCTCCCCCCCCCCCCCCCGGCCACCCCCCCCCCTTTTTCCCTACCTTTCCGGTCCACTAAAACTTTGGTTCTTTCTCAAAGCTCATTATTAGTGATTATATCCTACCAATTACTTCCCTATATTTTGAGCAGGCATCAGTTAATAAATAAAAGTGTCCAGTTTACTAGTAATTCACCCTGTTCTCGCTATTAACAGCTGTTCTGATTTGACGTTAGAATTAAAAATTTTAGGTTTAGTATTAGTTTCACCTTCTTTTGACCTAAATACATTCCCTAGTGCTGTGAAAGCTGTTATTGCCTTTTGTGTTTATATTTTAATATTCTTGTTACATGGGCCACGGCCAACTCTAGATATAAATAAGAAGTGGATGAACAACCAGAAGTTTCCACAAGAGTTTTCAGCCAATGTCCGCGATGCAAAAGCCAATTTACAAAAATTAACACAGACCGTACAACTGCAAATATGCTTAAGAAGTGGATGAACAACCAGAAGTTTCCGCAAGAGTTTACATCCAGTGTCCGCGATGCAAAAGCCAATTTACAAAAATTAACACTGACCGTACAACTGCAAATATGCATAAGAAGTGGATGAACAACTAGAAGTTTCCGCAAGAGTTTACAGCCAGTGTCCGCGAAGCATCAGTCAAATGGTTAAGGATTAATATTATTAGTGTACTTCTACAACATATAATTATACTGTTAGTCAACAATTATTAAAGAGGCAAAGAGCGACTTGCTGTGAGAGGTTAGTATAATATAGTAATAAAATATAGTTTTATGCACTTACCCAGAGCTCCGAAATATCTTGACACAATTTATTCACAATTTGATTTCTACATTCAAAGTAGAAAACGAATAAACAGCCAGTTCCCAAAAGTCCAAACTACTGACTAGAAACAATGACACACACATCACAACACGACTGTCTTCCGTGAAATAAAATTAAAATTGCTGTATATCCACTTGTAGATTTGTAATACGAATACGTTTAGAACACAGGACTTTGTAAGCATATTAAAATGTCACACAATGCAACATGGAAACGATTCCAGTAACCTATTTTTGAAGGGACTCCTCGAAAATGTACCGTGATTCAGTTGTCAGGACTGAATATACAGCCGGACGTGCATGGGTCCTCACTGGAAACAAAGAATACTAACAATTCACCCTAGCAGGCATGTTGTAAGGGGCTACTGAGGGTTCGGTTGGGCTTGAAGCTGGCTACCCAATCAAAGTTAGACTTGGTATAAATTTAAGACTGGTTAAATAACCATTTCTACAGTATACATAGTAATTATGAATCGTATAGCGAGTTGCTCAATGAAACAATGTAAACTAGGCATGGTTACTGCTACTGTTACTACTACTACTACTACTACTACTACTACTACTACTACTACTACTACTACTACTACTACTACTACTACTACTACTACTACTACTACTACTACTACTACTACTACTACTACTACTACACCAAGACCTGCAGCTACTACTATTGCTGCTAATGCAACTACTATTATTATTACCGTTACTACTACTACTTTAACGCTAATCGCATTTTCCCCCACAGAACAATTTCACAGTATGTCTCAGTAAAATGTCAGTCTCCGGAAAGTTGTAGTCAGATGGCAAATGGTGAGTCCGTCTCTTTGTTTTTACATTTAAATTTAACTTTTCTAGCTCTCAGTAGCCGATTCTTTGTGTCCTTAGTATTTTTTTTTTTTTTAAACTTTTTTTTTTTTTATTATAAAATTAAACAACAGATAGACTTTATTGAACAAGAGCAAAAAGGAAATTAATGAAGAGAATAATTTGTGGGCAGCTTTGAAAAAATTGGTCAAGAAAACTGATCTGAAACGTGATTGTGGGATAGAAATTATGATTTCCTGTGGTATGGCACATGATCATGATAACAAAACCGTATATTATTTGCTAATACAAAGCAGTAAATGCCCGTTTTCCAGGCCTTCGGGTTTATTGGGCATAGACTGTTAGACCTATACTTAATAACAGACCAATCGGCACTTGGTGGGCGATGTGGTCAGTATTTTTTATGAAAGAAAAAGTATGACTCCATTCTGATTTAAAATCCCAGACATTCGTATCCACTGGCAAGCGTCTGATACCGTGTAGCTGTCCCACTTAATAAAAGTAAGGACCCTGTTCACTCCATCAGCAAATTAAGTCAGCGGATAAATGCCCTATTCTACCAGCTGTGTGCGCTATCAATGCCATTCCTATAAAAACATAAATGCAAAAGTACAACATGTGATATGAGATGTATAAATAAGTAATTGGGAGTGGGGAGGGTCATGGCCAAACTTTAGTACTTTAGTAATTTTCGAAGGCGTCGGGAGGGTGAACAACAAGAAGAGAGTCACCAGTGAAGAACCTAGAACAATAGTAGGTACAGTACCTCTGTGTGGGTGTGCGTGCGCGAGCGTGCGTGCATGCATGCGTGCGTGCATGCGTGCCTGTGTGTATGTGAGTGCGCGCGTGTGTGTATGTGTCTGTGTGATTTCAGTAAACATGAAAGAATAAAATGGTTTTGTCATCTGGTCAGAATGAAATAAAATCAGCCAGCGGCTAAGGCATTATAAATGAGAACAGCGGGCTAAAAATTAGGAGGCCGACCCAAGAAATGTATGGGTAGGGGGAGTAAAAGAGACACTGTAGAAACACAGTATGGCATTAACACAAGCTAGGCAGAAACAGCGTAAGTGGTAGGACAAAAGAAAAAGAACACATTGGCCATGTGGTGCTAAACCCATTATTTTATTGCCAGTCTGCAGTCCAAGTATAATGTGGTCAATATCATGCTGGCTACCTTTATTTCCCATGACAATTTCTTGTTGCCCACTTAAGACGAGGTCGACCAAGAAACTCAGATGGATTGTTTAAAAAAACTCCGCATTGATGTTGATATAAACCCAAAACCTTTGGGTCGGCGGCTTTTTTCCATGTGCACCACGGCTGCCATTTTCTACTTCTTCGCATTCACCAGCTGTAAACTCCGGCTGAAAGTTCTGTTTGTTCGTCCACTTCTGGACTTGTTCCAGAACTTGATTTTTACATGCGCATCCACTTTACAAGTCTGGCTTATTTATATGCAGACTGCTGGTTCCTTGCATGGCAGGCAGATGAGCTCCGACTTCAAAGGGAACCCCTAATTAGTGAACTCTTTACAATATGCTCGTTAGGGAGGCAATGAATCTATTCACCCACCCCCCCCCCCCCCCCCACAACAATGGGGCCCCGGAACCCATACGGGCTGCTCTCAACTTGAGAGCATTAATTTTGTTAGTCATTAAGCTCAAGTTCTACAAACACAGGTTTTTAAGCCTTTGCAGGAAATGACATGTTCAAATACCTGGTCAGTGCCCTGTAGAAAAATAAGGACTTTTATTGTGACTGATTGCAGGCAGCATGATTCCGTTCTCTAAACGCCGAGAATCCTTTGTGAGAGGACATTCGATGACAATTGAAGCACCAATAACAAAGGTATGTGGCAGTAAATTGATTTGTTGGTTTTTGTATTCCTTACAGCTCGGGGCGGGGGAAGGGTTGTGCCTGTTTACATTTATTGGTTCTTCTTGAAGTCCGTGCAGGGTGGCGTTAGCAGTCATGTCTGTCCACAACTTTCTGTTTCGTGTACTTTCAGTCAGTTCTAAAACAGTCTGGGCATTCTATGTATATTCCTTCTCCGCAGTCTCTTGGCTGAACCACCTGTATAAACTTAAATCCAACTCTGGTGTGGATAAAGTCTGTTGATCTCTCCTTCTCTAATGGATTTCATTGCAGAGCTGCTCATAGATGTATTGATGATACTGTACTCTAGTGGAGCATTTCTCAACCTTGCTGCCTTTACAGAGGAACTCTTGAAATAATTTTAATTGTTCACTTAAAGCATCAGCATCTTGAAAACAAAATACTATTACATTTCATGGCATTTGGTAAACAAATAAAACTATAAGGCTGTTTTAATTAAAAAGTCAAATTCTGCTCCTTGAGATTCACTGGGTATATGGTGCTTGTCTCATATTTGTGTTATTAAAATTGCACTCAATGAATGATGACAAAATTGAGCCAACCCCTGTTGCTTCTCATAATATTTTACAGTTAGACCTTTCTCGCTGGGTTCTTACCAGAAAAAAAAAAACAAATAGTCCTGCCTTTCCATAGAAATTGAAGAGGAGCTACTGTCTTAACAGGCAAGCTCACAAACCATTCTCCTAACACATGGTAAAAATATTGAAAGTAGTAGAGTTCATGAAAACCCTAGACACAGAGTTGTTACTGGGTCACTAGTTGTTGACTGACTGAACTGTTATCCCCACCTCTGTCATCTGTTGGTCTGAAGCAAGGAACTTGATGTTTGCATGTTTAAGGCCTGTTCAGTCAGCCACATTCTGTATTCGTCTTTCTTGGTCTTTCTCTTCTTCTCTTCCACTCTACACCCCATAAGCATAATTACTTAGTGAATTGGTCATGTATATGAGCCCAGACTTCTGATGATTTTATCTCAGGTGATCAACATCATTAATGCAGCTCAGGAGAATTCGCCACTGACAGTGGCCCAGGCCCTGGACAAGGTTCTGGAAATACTACAGACAAGTGAGCTTTATTCTCCCTTCCAACATCAGGAGATTCGAACTGATGATGACCCCATGGCCACCGACTTCGTGGAGGGGCTTATGTTTGTAAGTGAATATTTTCTTTGACTGTGAGATGGCTTGTGTTTTTATGTAAATATTTTCTTTGTCTTTGACATGATTTGTGTCTGTAAATATTTTCTTTTGATCCTTTAGCACGCACAGTCAGAAAAAACCAGTCTTATTAGTGCTCTTGACAGAGCTCATCAATGAATGTTACATCTCCCCCGCGACACTTCGCTGAGGTACAAGGTGGAAAAGAAGATGAAGTCAGAAAACACAGTCTCACACACACAAACACGCACATATACACACACACAAACAGCCACATGCTGTGAATGTTGATCCATTTTGTGTGAATTCATAAGTGACAACACCATGTATCATTCTACTATAAACCTTTTGTTGACTGTCTTTGACATTGTGTGATTTGTCAGCTACACTTTCAAATGTACTTAACTATATTGGAGTGAAGGATTGTGTTGGTTTGCCCTTTCATTGTCTCTTTAGTAATAGAAATGACTTTAAATACACCTTTACTGCACCTGACAAAGATGTTCTTTAGTCTCATTATTTTAGTGTTGTAAATAACATCAATTACAAAATTATATTTCTCTTTAACAGCACAATGTTAAGAGGAGAAATTCAGGTCATGACTTGCACAAGGATTCACAGAAGGGTAGTAAGTATTGCAATCAAATAATGTTTGTTTTTTTTACATGCAATACAATCACAGTCTGAAATATGAATGTGAGAGAACACCACTAGTTAAATGAATGATCATCTGCAATGAGCCAATAACAGGAGAAACATGTTGAAATGAAGACAACTCTTGAAATTACACAGATTAAACAATTTGTTACAAGAACAAGCTTTTCCACACACAAAAAGTAATTAGTATTGCATAGCAAAATAGTAATAATTTGTCATTAACATAAAATATCAGAATATATTTAGGCTGGCAGCACAGTGTGTATACCATAGTTCTATTAAATACGTGAGTCGGTATAAAACTATCAGAAGTATTGATTAGAAAGCTATATTTTTTTTAATATTTCCCAAAAACTTCTAATAAAATAAGATTTTATTTTAAATGCCTAAAATATTTAATGTACTAAAAAGATGAACATAATTTTTCATATAATCTGATGGACACAAGAGATTAAACAGTTCTCTTTATAAACTCGTTTTATAATGTCGGGGTGCCGGGTTTGATCACAGCTGTGGATGGTTTGTATTGCATTGGTTTTGACAGTGGTACTGAGAGTTGACTGTTCAGTAAGCAGTTGCGAACTACTGAACGTAAAATTTGCCTAGAAAAACCACAACAGCCCCAAAAAATGCTGGGGTTGGTTCTGCAACATCCTGTAAAGGAAACGCAACTAACTTTAACTTAACAAAATGCATTCACAATTTTATATGGCAACTATCAAAAGCATGAGGTACCTAATTAACATTAACAATATATAATGCTCAGTTTTAATAAAAATAAGCCATTATCCACATACATATGATTCAGTTGTTGGAGCAGGTATCGTTAGTCTCCCCATGCCTCACCTATTTACACACTAGCTCACTTCTGATTGGTTATTCCTGAACCTGTCACCTTGGCACAAGGTTATGTGGGTGTTCCGCGATGACGTTGATATCACATGTTGTATATTACAGCACGCCAGCATTTTTAACACTCCAAAAACATGGAGAAACTGACCCTAACACAACCCCCTAGAGAGTGCTGCAAGCTATGTCACAGGCATTCTCTTTCTCCAAATGAAAAGGTAAATGCAAGGCAATGCAGAAAGCAAACAACTGAGCGGGGCACACCCATAACCTTCAGGAAAGTTGACCAGCCTGACAAACTTGTGAATGAAAAGTGACCTACTTTATATGGGGAGATTAACATGAACCTAACCCAGTTGATAAATATACATATTATATGATTATATGAAAATTGCTATCAAGGGTACCCCATAATTTTATTACTGACATATTGATAGCTGGATCACCTGTCAAACCCATAAGAAAAAGGCAAAAGATGTATACAGAGCATGTCAGCACAAAAAGTTAATAGAGAAATATTATTATTTTGGAAAGGAAAGGAAGACAAAAAAGAATGCAGCATATTGTAATCAGCTGGTCTTCTTCATCTGCGTTTATCTAAAGATGTAATTGTTTTGTGCCCATTTACAATATGGTTGTGATATTTGTGCCTTTCGGCCAACACATCCGACTGTTATCAGCTGGTCAACACATCTGACTGTTATCAGCTGGTCAACACATCCAACTTTTATCAGCTGGTCAACACATTCGACTATTATTAGCTGGTCAACATATCCGACTGTTATCAGCTGGTCAACACATTTGACTGTTATCAGCTGGTAAACAATCCGACTGTTATCAGCTGGTCAACACATCCAACTGTTATCAGCTGGTCAACACATCCGACTGTTATCAGCTAGTCAACACATCCGACTGTTATCAGCTGGTCAACACATATGGCTGTTATCAGCTGGTCAACACATCTGCCTGTTATCAGCTGGTCAAAACATTCAACTGCTATCAGCTGGTCAACAATCTGACTGTTATCAGCTGGTCAACACATCCAACTGTTATCAGCTGGTCAACACATCTGACTGTTATCAGCTGGTCAACACATTCAACTGTTATCAGCTGGTCAACACATCCAACTGTTATCAGCTGGTCAACACATCCAACTGTTATCAGCTGGTCAACACATCCAACTGTTATCAGCTGGTCAACACATCAGACTGTTATCAGCTGGTCACCACATAAAAATTGAAGTCAAATAGTTTATAGAGCCCCATTTTAAAGGGGTGGGGGAGGACAATAGACCCACAGACCCTAAATAAGCATATCATGAAAAGTGACTAATGAATGATTTGCTGAAATCAAATGTGCAGGGCGAAAATCCACACATTTTCACAACCTAGCTGTAAACCACAACACAGTATGCTAACAGGTGACAGAGAGAAGAGTCATGACTGAAAATTATGCTGGATGTAAAAGTTTAATGAAACAGCAGTTTGTCTACTAGTTAAGGATTGCAAGTAACTTAATTGTGACTGTATTTATTTGTCAGCTCACCACAGCCATGGACATCAGCACATTCCATCCAGTCCAGCGTGCTCACTCTCTCAGATCGATGAACCCATCATGAACATTCTCAACTTAGACTCCAGCTGGGACTTCGACATTATCGCTCTGGAATCACTTACCAACAAAAGGTAACTATTTTTTTCCAGGTTTTCAAATAAAGTTCAGACGTGGAGTTAATTGTGCAGGATTATATCCTTCTTCTTCTTCATCTGCTTCTGTCTTTACCCTTTAATAGGCAGTTGGCACACTGTGTTGTGGTTTACAGCTAGGCTGTGTATCTCTGTATCTGTGCTTTTTGACCCAACTAGTCTAATTTAAATTTCTTTTAAAGCCAAAGTGCATCTGTCTGATAGCAGAAGAACCACCAGTTTTATACAGTAATAGTAACAAATTTTTTTAATGAAAAGTAATCTATTTATCTGTTAGTTGCTTCAAAGATCAGCTTATTTATTTTATATATACTAAAGTCATCTATTCGTCTGTGGTTACATCCTGGCATAAGTTTCTTGAACAATCTGAGAATTGTCATCATCCTGTGAACTTCTGATAGTACAGGCTAATAGATGCCAAAACCTAGAGGCTCAGGTCCCTTGAGTCCAACCTTCCCCCCCTTCCCCCCCCCCTTCCACCAAATCTTCGAAAGGAAAGGGGGTGACTGAGCCACCCCAATAATAATTTGTAAGTTCATTTATTAAAGCCAACTTATTGTAAACATCAATTACCACCACTTCGGGTAACTTAAAAAAATGGAGTGCTTATGCGATTGTCAGGAGTGCTGTAATGTTATTTCTTAGATTAACACTCAACTAAATTATAAATAGCCTGTGTTAATTATTCTGTCCTGTCCATGTTTACCCAAGTATAGAGGAACATTGTCAGTGCTTGGTGCTACAGGTTATCAGTGAATACAGTTTGCTGGCCTCTGGGACAATGGTGGGAATTTGTAGAAGTTGTTCACATAGGCGCTACAACCTGGGGTTTCAGCTATCTTGAGCCTCCCACACACACACAATTATTTTGTAAGAAACTAAAAGACCTCATGTAACCATGTATAGATATTTTCTCTAAAAATTACTGCTTATGCATTTCGCCTGTGGCTTAGGAATTGTGAACGCTCTTCATAATGCCAGGGTGCTAGAGTTTGATCCCAGCTGCAGGTGATTTGCAGCAGACCTAAGACCTTCCCCCCCCCCCCTTTTCCTTGGCACTAACTTTGTGGGGGTGCCCCTGCTAATAGAACAGCTGGGAGCAATCATCCAGATGGAAAGTGGAAAATTGTATTCCTGCCTGCGATATAATCAGACTGGGCATTACTGTGACATCACTCTTAAATACTGCAAGGGGAGCTGTAAATATAAACTGGTAATCCTTTGATTTTGCTCTAAACTAAGTTAAGGAAACAACATTATAGGACTGTCCCCACCTTCATCAGCGTGCACATAGTGCCAGTTCTGTAGATACCAGCAACAGTCTGACCATCTGTCTGACTTTTTTGACTTTCCTCTGAGAGTACAGTATCAGCCAGATCCCCTGGTCACTTCCTGCTGCACATCTTGCTCTGAGCTGCATGCAAAACAAGTAGGCAGGTCGTCTTTGGCTTTGATCTGAGCTGCATACAAAACAAGTAGGCAGGTCGTCTTTGGCTTTGCTCTGAGCTGCATACAAAACAAGTAGGCAGATCATCTTTGGCTTTGCTCTGAGCTGCATACAAAACAAGTAGGCAGGTCGTCTTTGGCTTTGCTCTGAATAATATAAGTATTAGTTTTAACAAATAGCCTATTCAAAACTCAAGATTTTAACTGGGATATAAAATAGTCACTGAGTTTTGCGAGTATATATTTATTATTTTATATATTGCATAATTTTTTTTATTTAGGACAGTTATGTTATTTGTATTATTGTTTTAAATATTGCTTTGTTTACACCTGTTTTGGGTTGTGATTAAGACAGAAATTGTACTATGATACTATGAATTTTGAGATAATCTTACTAACACTGAGTCATTGAAAAAAAAATGGATTTTTTATGCCCTTAGTACAATAGCTGATACTCTCATCAGTTTTATCTGTAAGGGAAATGTCTTTAAGGGTTGCATGGACATTCCTTCCCTTTCTACTTTTGGAATTTAGCTCTAGTAATAAATTGCTTGACCTTGCTATGCAAGGTCTATGTGCAACAAGATTTCCATCCTCAAAGTTAATTTACAGAGATTAATGTAGTCAGCTAATTGTTTTCTTTGGAGTTCATATTTCTTACACTCTTTGCCAGAGCTTTTCAACTAATTTTACTTTGGGGCCAAGATTTTCTAAATGGGAATTCATCACATACCAGAGGCCCGAGCTCCAGCATAGAAAGATCATTAAAATAATAAATTGGCAATGTTTTGTGGCCCAGTTGCTAGCTCTCTGTGGGTCACTTGCTAGCTCTCTGTGGGCCACTTGCAAGATCTCTGTGGGCCACTTGATAGCTCTCTGTGGGTCACTTGCTAGCTCTCTGTAGCCCACTTGCTAGCTCTCTGTGGGTCACTTGCTAGCTCTCTGTGGGCCACTTGCTAGCTCTCTGCGGGTCACTTGCTAGCTCTCTGTGGGCCACTTGCTAGCTCTCTGTGGGCCACTTGCAAGCTCTCTGTGGGCCACTTGCAAGCTCTTTGTGGGCCACTTGCTAGCTCTCTGTGGGTCACTTGCTAGCTCTCTGTGGGTCACTTGCTAGCCCTCAGTGGGTCACTTGCTAGCCCTCTGTGGGCCACTTGCTAGCCCTCTGTGGGTCACTTGCAAGCTCTCTGTGGGCCACTTGCATGCTCTCTGTGGGCCACTTGCTAGCTCTCTGTGGGTCACTTGCTAGCTCTCTGTGGGTCACTTGCTAGCTCTCTGTGGGTCACTTGTTAGCTCTCCATGGCAGCTATCTGTGGGCCACTTGCAAGCTCTCTGTGGGTCACTTGCAAACCTCTGTGGGCCATGTGCTAGCTCTCTGTGGGCCACTTGCTAGCTCTCCATGGCCCACTTGCTAGCTCTCCATGGCCCACTTGCTAGCTCTCCATGGACCACTTGCTAGCTCTCCATGGGCCACTTGCTAGCTCTCTGTGGGCCACTTGCTACTCTCTGTGGGCCACTTGCTAGCTTTCTGTGGGTCACCAGTTGAAAAGCCCTGCTCTACACTGGTGTACTTTTTGCATGAATCACAGGTTTCCTCCAAACATAAAAAGTTTGCCGCGAGTTGCTGAAGGTAAGAAGTCGACTTGTCATCTTCTGGATTTGTTTTGAATGGTTGTAGTTAGGGAAGAAGCAGACTAGTCAACCCAGCATCAAAAATATCTAAATCCTAATTGTGTGAAAACCATGTCACTTTATATCTCTGTGGCATTGTCTGTACTAAGAGATTATCTGTGATATTAGTCTTTGCTTGTTTACTCCCCCCCCCCCCCCCCCCCCCCCACCCAATGATCTTGACTCCCAGGTCGACCCAGCCTTGAGTGGGTACCAGGTGCAGTCTTGAGAAGTAAAGGCAGCTGGCGTGGTGCTGACCACATTACCCACAAAGTGCTGATTGGTCTAAATTTGCCTAGAAAAACCACAACAGCCAAAAAATGTATTGGTTGATTCTGCTACATAAAAGATACACAACTAACTGACCTTGGATATATTTATATACGGTATAAATCTAAAATTTGTTCTTGTGGCAAGTGGTGTGATGGGAGAATCCAGAATACTGGCTTTTTATTTATTACTGCATTTCTGCTATTTTTACACAGACCTTTAGTCCATCTTGGACTGAAATTATTTGCTCGTTTTGGAGCTAGTGAATTCCTGAATGTGAATGAAACTTGCTTGGTCAACTGGCTACAGATGATTGAGAGTAACTACCATGCACAAAACAACTACCATAACTCCACTCATGCGGCTGACGTCATGCATGCAACTGCATATTTCCTTGACAGGGACAGGTCAAAGGTACATCTCAGTGTTTTTTATCCATTAAATATTCACTATTCACCGCCATCGAAACCCACTGCTGGCTGCGTGGATTTTTATCATGGTATGGGGCGTCGCAGGTCGACCCAGCCTAAAATGGGTACCAGGATGGGCTGTCCTGGGGAAGTAAAGACGGCCGGCGTAATGCTGACCACATTACCCACCCAGTGCCGATTGGTCTGTAAAAATATGGGACGCTCTTCCCATTTACCCGATGCGCCTAAGGCGTGAAAAGGGATCTTTACTTTTTACTTACTTTTACAAACTTATTCACTGTTCACGTACAAATCTTCAGTGTATTCATCATAATGGAATTCTCAGTAAACATTATTTTATCATCTGCTGGCTGCCAATACTGTCCAAGACATTAACTGGAGTCTATTTTGGGCGAAGTCAGTCTAGGAACCAAGGTTAGATTTTAGGAGAAAATCTGCCTGGGTGTGGATCTGAACACAAATCGGATTGTAGTTCAGCACTTGGTCACATGTGGTAACTGAAGCAAATAAATGTTATTTATAATATTTATAAGTATGTTTTTAAATTACTAAACCCACTGATAGTACCCTTCTCTAAGTTAGGTCTGGTTCAGTAAATTAGATTATATGTTATGTAATATTTATCATCTACTTAAGTATTTGTGACGTGATAGAAGTGGTGGCAACAGTAGCTTTCTGAAAAGCAGTCTAACATGTAATTGGAATGGACTTGCCGAGCTTGCTTCATGAAATATAAACTTGAGTCCTGGCCATAGAATAGCTTACATTGCTTGATATGACTCATGAGCATATGAATTTCCTGCCTAGTGCATGTATATGTGGGGGAAATTAGCAGGCTAATAGATTGTCTGCTTTAACTCCTCAAGGCTGGGAGCTACTTTATGATAAAGCAGATATAGTGGCAGTTCTTTGATGCATAATAGATGATATAGCTCAGGGAAGTTCATGTGTCATGTATGCCTATCCCAGGACATTGCATATTTTTAATGAGGGTGCCACCTGAGAAGATGCAGTTGAACATATCTATACCTGAACATACAGAGGATCCATACCTAGTGAGAGTGCTTCTTCTTCTTCTGCATCTGCTCTTAAATGGGCAATTTGCATGTTGTGGTATGGTTTACAACTATACTGTAGTGTGTGATTCTTTCAACTCAACACATCAGATTTCAGCAAACTCCCAATTAGTCACCCTTTGTGATTTGCTTGTTAGAGAGCAATAGTCTTACCACCTGTCTATCCCCCCCCCCCCCCCCAACTGTCTCAGAACCTACAGGAGAAGTGAGACTGATGCTTAATAAACATTGCCATCAGTAATATCAAAACTATTTCTAGGCTGTGAAGAAAGTGACAGAGGTCTTGTGTTAATGTCCCTAGAGTAATTACGGTATGTCAGTTCTTCATTTATTTATGTCCTGTATCTTATATTGTCAGCATACTAGAGTGATTCTTCTTTCTCACTGCAGGAGATTTTTGATCAGCAAGACCAGGTGGCTAGTCTCATAGCTGCGGCAGTTCACGATGTTGACCACCCTGCAAGGACAAATGCTTTTCTGATCAATGAGAAGCATAAGTTGGCCATTCTTTACAACGATCAGTGAGTCATGTATTGCTTTGTCTGCTTGTACAACTAACTACAAACTTCAGTGATAGGGCAGCATGATATTACTGATACTCTGTGTAGTGGAGGTCCATAATATTGGCCAGTAATGTTGAAAAATGTTGATGTTGATTTAAAAGTAAATAACTATAAGACCTTTTTTTTTTTTACACTAGTGGTGGATCGTGCGTATGATGCTTGACTCATATTTTTTAAAGACCAATCACCACTCAGAAGATGATGTCAGCAATATGTCTGTCACTTTTACTTCACTGGACTATTACCTGTTACCCATTTTAGGCTGGGTCACGCTGGTAACCAAAGTCAAGTTTGAAAAAAAAAATCTGCCTCAATGTAGATTTGAACCCAAGTCCTTTGGGCCAGCAGGCGAGCATCTTGTCATCATGTTACAGCAGATAACAGGTCCAGAGCAAATGTATGAACATGAATCATGACAGTTAGCATTTAGTAGAAATTATGTAGTAGCTGCAAAGATGTGGTTTTGTAGTATAGTGAGAACAACATTGGCAGATGACAGATATAAACTCACAAATAAAACACATTAACCATATCAGCAGAATATTGGTATTTTATAAACATTATTATTTTTTTAATGTAATAAACTTACCTGACGTGAAAGGTGAAATAATTAATTTTCTACATTCACACAGAAATTAGCAGTTAATTACAGCTTTGATATTTACGGCATATTTGTGATCATTATTTTACTATAGAGACATCACGTTTTGTGCTAGAAAGACAAGCACTTTTTTTGTAATGTGACCATAATATATTGAGCTGGGGAAAAAAAAATTAATCCAAAGCAAGTTAGGTTAACCCCACCCCATATACTTTATTTTTAGGTTGCTGGGGTGAAACTGTTAATTGCTTGACAGGAGTATTAAAACCCAAAGTATTGTCACCAACAAAAATAAGTGAAACATGGAAGTCTCCATCAACACATTTTAGACATTAAAATTGTCTAAAATTAGGAAGTCTAATAAGATCTACAGATGTAGCTATAATTATATATTCTATTCTTGAGCATATTCCTAGATTTTAATAAAAGGGAACAATTTACTTTTTTAGGAAAGTGGGGGTGGGCGAGAGTCAGATGGAACAGCAGAGACACACCTAAAGAATGGCACTGTCCAGGGGAAAAGAGGTCATATGGTCATCCTAACTTTCAGTGAAAAGGTTTTATTAACAAATGTCAAAAGCATAATACCATATTATCACAAACATTTGTTAACTTGTACTTTGTCTTAATTATTTGATATTTTATACTGTCAGGGCTGTGTTGGAGAACCACCATGCTAGTATGTGCTTCAGGCTGACTCATGAGGACCAGAGTGTGGATATATTCAAAAACTTGAGCACGTTAGTTATTCATTTTTCTTGAATCTATGTTTTAGTGCATCAGATTTGGACAGTTGTTCTCTATTCTTCTTCTGTATTTATCAATACGATGGCAGTCTAGTACACTGGTACACTGTGTGGTTTACAGTTAGGCTGTGATGTCTGCACCTTTTCACCCCAACACATCTGGTTTCAATAAATCCTTACTTAGTCATCTTTTACATCATAGTTGTTGATGCCATATACAGTCGAGTCTGGATAAGTAGAAGTCGCAGGTACCTAAGAAAATGCTTCCACTTATCAGGATTTCTACTTATCCAGACAGCACACACAATAGAGAAAATTTCCGGGACTAAGCTGGTCATGTCGACTTAACCGAAATTCAACTTATCCCAGTTCGACTTAAGTGGACTTGACTATATATTTATTCTTCTTCTTCTTGTTTACCAGCTGTGAATTCCGGCAGAAAGTCCCAGTTGTTTGTCCATTTGGACTTTTGGCTTTTACCAGGACCTGAGTTTTGCATGTACATGCGTTTTACTGGCTTATTTATTTGCAGTTCTCGTTCCCTGCCTCACCGGCAGATGTTCTCTGACTTCGAGGAAAGATGGCAAGCCTATCTGTAGGATGACTGTGGCCATTTTTTTGCGTGGGTCGAGATGTTGCCTCATTTGTGTGGTGTCCTCTTTGTCGCATTATCTACAGGTGTTGCCCCCGGAGAACACCTCCCCCTTAGGGCAACCCTACATAGAATGGTCAGCTATCAAGGGAAGGCAGGGACAGATCATGGGCATTCCCCGCCATCCAAGGAGGTTCCATAAATGCAGAGCCGACACATGACGCTCTGGTTCTGTGCTCACCCAAATAATTGTCATGTCCTGCACATAACTGCTTAACCTCACAACTGTAAATTGAGCTTTCTGCTCAACACGGGCTTCGCCCTCCAGAGATCAGCGGGGAGCAGCCTGCAGGTCAAGGACTTTTGTGCCAACAAAGAATAGGTACTTCTTTGTTGCAAGTTAAACACCTTTAACATTGTTTCAGCTGTGCCCTTAGCATGACAGAATGGAGAAGCATGCATCAGGCATGGCTTCACCTGTCCAGTCCCATATATATATACAAAGAGACAATGCATTTATAGAAAGTAGTAGAAGATAGAAGGACACACTAGACAACATAGAAATCAAAAGCTGTAATTTCTTGCCAGGAATCAAACCTGTGACCTCCAAATGGAAGGTGCTCCTTGCAGTGGAAACAAGTGTACTAAGACACATGACCAACCAGGCATCTCTAAAAAAAAAAGGTGTCTTTATTAGCCATCTCTATTATACAGCTTTAAATCCACAACTATAGAATATAGATGGAATTCATCTCAGACAATTGAAATGGCACCATTGTTACATAAACTTATATTAGGCAAGCATAGGTCAAATAACAAACACAGGAATTTAATTGCCAAAGAAAATGGAAGATGCAGCAAAGCCTAGCATATGATACTGCAACATCTAGTTTGAGAATGGAGTTAAAGACAGTCACACAGCAGTTTTCTCTTGGTCTGAGAACCAGCCACACATGCATATCGTGATTGTAAGTCTCACAAAGCATGCTGAAAAAGGTGGAGACCGGCCCATACTGCATGCAGATTGGCAAGCATTCCTTTAGAGGTCCTAGTTTTGTCCAGGGTCTGCAGGTGTGTTGTTAGGAAATGAACAGACAGACAGACTGGCTAGTTCTGCACCACTGGATGATGAACTGATGTATAGCAAGCTATACATGGTCAGGGCACTTTGGGAGCCATTGAACAATGTGAAGGCATAAATAAATGATTATCATCTGCAGAGAATAGACAGCCAGGAGTTATCGTGGGATCTGGCTGACACTCTACACTCAAAGGAAAGACAAGACAGACATGTAATGAAACCTCTAACCACTACTGGAACTATCAGAATTGGTTTTTCAAGCTGAATTAAAAATATTGCTTGCATAGCAGTCACTGTGACATGTTCAGGCTAGAACTGTTATGTCTCTTCAAAAAGACCAAATTTGCGACTTTATATGTGACGTTATCACTTTCTGCTGAAAATTGATGTTCAGTTTAATTCATTCTATCATCTAATTCTGGTTCACAGTGGGTTTATTTTAAAAAAATTAACAGCTGATGTTTTGTAATCATATCACAAATTGCCTTCATCTCTTGCGTAATTAGACCTTTTACTTAGTCTACTCATATAAAGTGAAATACAAGAGATCCCTCTCAAAGCGAAAAATCCCACAGGAGTTTAAAATCACAGAGTAGACATAAGGATGTACAAAAACTGTGGCCAAATTGTCAGTAAGACCCAAAAAATCTACATAAGGTAGATGTTTAGTAACTTTGGAAATGATCTGCCTTTACAAACACTGCCACAAACTCTTCCAAATTCACTGATTGTTCTGAGAAATTTGCAGTTAAGTGTGGCACACTTCCCTTTAAAAAGAGAAATGTTCTTTTTCTTCATGATCACCAACTGTAATCTCCGGCAGAATTTTCTAGTGGTTTGTCCACTTAAAGATTTTGGTCTTTTTCCAGGACTTCATTTTTGTGTGCACATCCATTTGACAGATCTGGCTTATTTGTGTGCAGACTGTTGGCTCTTGTCCTCTGGTAAATGCATTCTGACTTTGAAGGAAACATTGATCCTAACAACAGTGGCCAGGGCTGGTGTTTTGGGGAATCTTTTTCTATCATGACTGTGGAGACAGGTAGATAGGTTTTACCCAATATGAGCCTTGTTTATGGCGCACCCCAATGTGTTGTTCAGCATGTCTGTATCCCAAAGCAAAATGAATATTTTAACAACCCATTGTCTTTCATTTTGTTTAGTGAGGATTATAAAGCAGTGCGTCAGTCAATAATAGACCAGGTTTTGGCTACAGACATGAAGCAACACTTTGAACATTTGTCAAAATTTACCACTTCAGTGACCAAGCACTTACAGAAGCTGGAAGGGGACAATACAGACGTGAGTATTTGCTTTACATAATAATAGGCATCTACAAATTAATCACAGTCGGCGTCTGTCACTTAGGCTTTACGAACGCACTTCGTGATGCCGTGGTGCCGGGTTCGATCTCAGCTGCGGGCCTTGTGCCTTGCGTTGGTTTCGACAGTGGTATCAAGAAACCGACTGTCCAGAAGCAATGGCAAACTACTGGACGTCAATTTGCCTAGAAAAGCGTCAACAACCAAAATATGGTTCCCCAATGTCCTGTAAAGGATACGCAACTAACTAACTAACAAGTTAATCATGCATGTGTGTCATAAATTGAGAAAATAAGGTTAGAAAATTAGGGTATAGTTCATCTCTCTTAAACTAAAATATTTTTGCTATAGTAAATGTACTTGTGTACCCTGATAACATGAGGTGGAAGATGAATTAAAGAAGTTAAATGTAGAATAGCTCAAGCAAAATGAAACAATTTTTATGCAATCGTTCTCTCTCAACTGAGATGAGAAAGAGAAAACCTATATAAATGCTATCCTGGTGTATGGAAGTGAATTATGGACAGTTGGTCGATTAGTGAAAAATTATTTGGAAGCTGCAGAGGTGTGGTTTTATAGATGAATGATGAGAATACCCTGGACAGATAAAAAGAGTAATGAAGATGTCTTGAAAGACACTGACTCACAAAGAGAACTGACTGTCTGCATCAGAAGGAGACAGTTTATGTTCTCTGGTCATGCCATTAGAATGAGAAAATAGGACCCTCTTCCACACTTTCAGGCATACTGAAAGACCAGTTGGTACTAAGTAAGTGATGTGATCAGCATCATATCACCTACCTTGACTTCCCTGGACTTTACCTGGTCTCCATTGAAGGCCGGGTCAACCAAGGTCATTATTGAAAAAAGGCTGGCTTTGTTCATATTCAAACCCATGACCTTCAGATTTGCAGGCAAGTGTCTAGCTGCTACTGCATTTCTTTGCTTGTACTTTTATTAAAGTTAAGGAAATGTTAAAGTTGAGAGAGTCAACTTCATTGCACCAGGTTTTATCCCATATGATTCAGTCTCTCTCTGCAGAGAGCAGCGCACTGAGCACGAACTCCATAGCTATGGCAACGATCCCCAGGGATCTATGTAAAAATTGCACTCATAAACTGAATGGCACAGCCATGAAACAAACCCATGACCCTCAGAGCATGAGGCAGATGGCTTGACTACTTCACCACATTTATGAAATGCAGCTAGTTATTTTCATAGATTGGGTATTATTTACCTCACAGTATCACACTGTATGCACTGTGGGTATTATTTACCTCACTGTATCACACTGTATGCACTGTGGGTATTATTTACCTCACTGTATCACACTGTATGCACTGTGGGTATTATTTACCTCACTGTATGCACTGTGGGTATTATTTGCCTCACTGTATCACACTGTATGCACTGTGGGTAATATTTACCTCACTGTATCACACTGTATGCACTGTGGGTATTATTTACCTCACTATATCACACTGTATGCACTGTGGACAATATTTACCTCACAGTATCACACTGTATGCACTGTGGGTATTATTTACCTCACTGTATCACACTGTATGCACTGTGGGTATTATTTACCTCACTGTATCACACTGTATGCACTGTGGGTATTATTTACCTCACTGTATCACACTGTATGCACTGTGGGTATTATTTGCCTCACTGTATTACACTGTATGCACTGTGGGTAATATTTACCTCACTGTATCACACTGTATGCACTGTGGGTATTATTTACCTCACAGTATCACACTGTATGCACTGTGGACAATATTTACCTCACTGTATCACACTGTATGCACTGTGGGTATTATTTACCTCACTGTATCACACTGTATGCACTGTGGGTAAAATTTATCTCACAGTATCACACTGTATGCACTGTGGGTATTATTTACCTCACAGTATCACACTGTATGCACTGTGGGTATTATTTACCTCACTGTATCACACTGTATGCACTGTGGGTATTATTTACCTCACTGTATCACACTGTATGCACTGTGGGTAATATTTACCTCACTGTATCACACTGTATGCACTGTGGGTATTATTTACCTCACTGTATCACACTGTATGCACTGTGGGTAATATTTACCTCACAGTATCACACTGTATGCACTGTGGGTATTATTTACCTCACTATATCACACTGTATGCACTGTGGATATTATTTACCTCACAGTATCACAATGTATGCACTGTGGGTATTATTTACTTCACTGTATCACACTGTATGCACTGTGGGTAATATTTACCTCACAGTATCACACTGTATGCACTGTGGGTAATATTTACCTCACAGTATCACACTGTATGCACTGTGGGTATTATTTACCTCACAGTATCACACTGTATGCACTGTGGGTAATATTTACCTCACAGTATCACACTGTATGCACTGTGGGTATTATTTACCTCACTGTATCACACTGTATGCACTGTGGGTAATATTTACCTCACTGTATCACACTGTATGCACTGTGGGTATTATTTACCTCACTGTATCACACTGTATGCACTGTGGGTAATATTTACCTCACTGTATCACACTGTATGCACTGTGAGTATTATTTACTTCACTGTATCACACTGTATGCACTGTGGGTATTATTTACCTCACTGCATCACACTGTATGCACTGTGGGTATTATTTACCTCACTGTATCACACTGTATGCACTGTGGGTATTATTTACCTCACTGTATCACACTGTATGCACTGTGGGTAATATTTACCTCACTATATCACACTGTATGCACTTATGCACTGTGGGTATTATTTACCTCACTGTATCACACTGTATGCACTGTGGGTAATATTTACCTCACAGTATCACACTGTATGCACTGTGGGTATTATTTACCTCACAGTATCACACTGTATGCACTGTGGGTAATATTTACCTCACTGTATCACACTGTATGCACTGTGGGTATTATTTACCTCACAGTATCACACTGTAAGCACTGTGGACAATATTTACCTCACTGTATCACACTGTATGCACTGTGGGTATTATTTACCTCACTGTATCACACTGTATGCACTGTGGGTATTATTTACCTCACTGTATGCACTGTGGGTATTATTTACCTCACTGTATCACACTGTATGCACTGTGGGTATTATTTGCCTCACTGTATCACACTGTATGCACTGTGGGTAATATTTACCTCACTGTATCACACTGTATGCACTGTGGGTATTATTTACCTCACAGTATCACACTGTATGCACTGTGGACAATATTTACCTCACTGTATCACACTGTATGCACTGTGGGTATTATTTACCTCACTGTATCACACTGTATGCACTGTGGGTAAAATTTACCTCACAGTATCACACTGTATGCACTGTGGGTATTATTTACCTCACAGTATCACACTGTATGCACGGTGGGTATTATTTACCTCACTGTATCACACTGTATGCACTGTGGGTATTATTTACCTCACTGTATCACACTGTATGCACTGTGGGTAATATTTACCTCACTGTATCACACTGTATGCACTGTGGGTATTATTTACCTCACTATATCACACTGTATGCACTGTGGGTAATATTTACCTCACAGTATCACACTGTATGCACTGTGGGTATTATTTACCTCACTATATCACACTGTATGCACTGTGGGTATTATTTACCTCACAGTATCACAATGTATGCACTGTGGGTATTATTTACTTCACTGTATCACACTGTATGCACTGTGGGTAATATTTACCTCACAGTATCACACTGTATGCACTGTGGGTAATATTTACCTCACAGTATCACACTGTATGCACTGTGGGTATTATTTACCTCACAGTATCACACTGTATGCACTGTGGGTAATATTTACCTCACAGTATCACACTGTATGCACTGTGGGTATTATTTACCTCACTGTATCACACTGTATGCACTGTGGGTAATATTTACCTCACTGTATCACACTGTATGCACTGTGGGTATTATTTACCTCACTGTATCACACTGTATGCACTGTGAGTATTATTTACTTCACTGTATCACACTGTATGCACTGTGGGTATTATTTACCTCACTGTATCACACTGTATGCACTGTGGGTATTTTTTACCTCACTGTATCACACTGTATGCACTGTGGGTATTATTTACCTCACTGTATCACACTGTATGCACTGTGGGTAATATTTACCTCACTATATCACACTGTATGCACTTATGCACTGTGGGTATTATTTACCTCACTGTATCACCCTGTATGCACTGTGGGTAATATTTACCTCACAGTATCACACTGTATGCACTGTGGGTATTATTTACCTCACAGTATCACACTGTATGCACTGTGGGTATTATTTACCTCACTGTATCACACTGTATGCACTGTGGGTATTATTTACCTCACAGTATCACACTGTATGCACTGTGGGTATTATTTACCTCACTGTATCACACTGTATGCACTGTGGGTATTATTTACCTCACTGTATCACACTGTATGCACTGTGGGTATTATTTACCTCACAGTATCACACTGTATGCACTGTGGGTAATATTTACCTCACAGTATCACACTGTATGCACTGTGGGTATTATTTACCTCACTGTATCACACTGTATGCACTGTGGGTAATATTTACCTCACTGTATCACACTGTATGCACTGTGGGTATTATTTACCTCACTGTATCACACTGTATGCACTGTGGGTAATATTTACCTCACTGTATCACACTGTATGCACTGTGAGTATTATTTACTTCACTGTATCACACTGTATGCACTGTGGGTATTATTTACCTCACTGTATCACACTGTATGCACTGTGGGTATTTTTTACCTCACTGTATCACACTGTATGCACTGTGGGTATTATTTACCTCACTGTATCACACTGTATGCACTGTGGGTAATATTTACCTCACTATATCACACTGTATGCACTTATGCACTGTGGGTATTATTTACCTCACTGTATCACACTGTATGCACTGTGGGTAATATTTACCTCACAGTATCACACTGTATGCACTGTGGGTATTATTTACCTCACAGTATCACACTGTATGCACTGTGGGTATTATTTACCTCACTGTATCACACTGTATGCACTGTGGGTATTATTTACCTCACAGTATCACACTGTATGCACTGTGGGTATTATTTACCTCACAGTATCACACTGTACACACTGTGGGTATTATTTACCTCACTGTATCACACTGTATGCACTGTGGGTAATATTTACCTCACAGTATCACACTGTATGCACTGTGGGTAATATTTACCTCACAGTATCACACTGAATGCACTGTGGGTATTATTTACCTCGCATTATCACAATGTGTGCATGTCAGTTAAAATGCACAAAATCTAATCTATCCAGGGAGAGCCTCATGAACTTGACATGACTGCAACAATGGCTGATTTGTGTTTGCATGAGAACAAGGTCCTCATTAAAAGAATGATGATCAAATGTGCAGATGTTAGTAATCCTCTTCGTCCTTTAAGTCTGTGCAAGGAATGGGCATACAGAATAGCAGAGGAATACTGCCAGCAGGTAGGATCTGTAATAGATCTAGGGATAGTCTTATTTTATAGTGTAGTGTTTTTTTTTTTTTTTCTTCACGATGCCAATCAAAGTCATGACTTGACAAACTCTATCAGTGTATTTTTGATATATTATGAGAAGAAATGGGCTTGAAAACTTGGTAATGACTGGCAAAATCAAGGGAAAAGTCAAAGAGATAAACACCTGAATGAATAAGTCTTATGGATGGGGGCAAGACAAGAACACTGACCTGATGTGTGATTCTTGTAATCAGATGGAATGGCAAAACATAACAACCTTTACTTATTGGCATGGCACATGGTGATGATGATTCTTGGGTTTGTCATCCCTCTTCTGCATTATGTAGGCACAGTGGTTGTGGGGTTTGACCGCTTGAACTTTAAAAAAACTGACCAGGTCTCCAAATTTATTCTGCTTCTTCTCTTCCCCTAGTTTTGTAGAGTTTCACAGAATTATAAGGCTTTTGTTTTATAATTACATTTGGTAAAAAGTCATATCCTGGGGAGTACAGGCGGCCAGCGTGATGCTGACCACATCACCCATCTTGTGCCGATTGGTCTACAAAAATATAGGTCTAGCCCTGTATGCCCTGGAGGTTGTTTATAAATGTTTTTTTTTTAAATGTTAATCAGTTCTTTCGTTCACAGTATTTTGAGTTTTAACACTCTTTGTTCTTTCATGTCTTAAAGTGTGACCAAAGTCATTAGAGTCTTTACAATGACTTAGAGAAATCTTAGTTTTCTATATGCCTCCATTCCCCATGAACTTGCAGCATAAGACATTTTTTAAAATATCCATTAGAAAAAATTATCTGCCTAACTTGTGTCTAGAAAATGGTGGAGATGCTGGCATTTTAATAATTCAGCCCATTGTTGTTCATGCATTTTTAAATGTATGCATGACTCTTATCTGTCTGGTCAAGAGCAGAAGATATACAGGAAGGTAGACACTTTCACGGTTTCCAGAAAAAAATGTTCGAAGGACATGCTAAAGGCATCGCTTAAAGCCTTAAATATAGACTGTGAAACTTGGGAGGCTGCTGCACAAGACCGAACTACATGGCGAACATCTATCTGAAGAGTGGCCGTGACCTGTGAGGCTTGAAGAAAAGGGATAGCTGTGCAGCAAAGGCATGCTAGAAAAACCTGTACTACGGGCCCCTACCTACACAGTTTCCTGTCCTCACTATCCTATATCAGTCAGGGCCTGTACTGGTCTTATTAGTCACCCCTGGACCTCACAGAACTCAACTATAGTTTGATAAGGAATACAAGAAAGAGTGGCCCTAATTACTTGTGATGGACAAACAACAACAAAGTAAACTACTGTGCGCTACTTTTATACCTAATTTTTTGATGGTACATGTACAAGATCCCATCGACTTATGATGAGTTTTATTCTAACTGGTCATTAAATCGAACTTATATTTGTCAACACTGTTTTCATTCTAAAGGGTTCAAAGAACTGTACATAAAACACAAAAATCCACTACAACGTACTTAACAATTATTGGACAAAATGTGAGAAAATACATAATATGTACTTTATTGCATCAGTTCGTAGAACGTTTTTACATTACACGTGTTATCTTTCTTGAGTTACTGTTTTTATTTATTAATTTTCGTGTGGTAGTGAGTGTGGATGGTCATAAGTCACATAGGTCATAAGTTAAGGTGAAGGTGTATGTGTGTGAATATATAAATTACTTCTTCTCCTTTCTGAATAACATAGAGCTTTGTTTGACATAATAATTTGCTCATTCTACACTCACAAACTGTACTATATATTTGTTTTCCAGACAGACGAAGAGAAGAGCAGAGGACTGCCAGTTGTTATGGCACAGTTCGATAGAAAAACACTGAACATCCCTAAATGCCAGTTGGCATTCATTAACTTGTTCATTACCAGTATGTTTGATGCTTGGGATGGTATGTATTTTTCATTTGTCTACACCACCAGTTTTAGAAATGTGTGCGAGAAGGCTAAATTCAGTCACTTCCATTTATGACAGTCTCAAAAATGCTGATATTTCACCATTTTGGTGGGGAACTGTCCTGAAAAAAAAAAAGGCATAGCTAAATGCCACTGGTTCTATGCGCACCTGCCTAGAGTTTAGAAGGTCTGGATGTGAATATATTAATTAAATTTTAATTTAGAGGGATTTCATTGCAATTTCAATAGCGTTTTTAAAGGCAGGTTGACATAAAAGCTTCCCTTAAGCCTCAGTGATAGATAAGCATTTACTGTGTCATGGCATGAGTCTTCTTCTTCTTCTTCTTCTGTAGTCATATTCTGCCTTTCAACATCAGGTTTTGAATAGGCATCAGGTGTGAAACCTTGGCATGTGTTACTTAAATGCTGGTGTTTGTTGCCTCTGACATTCCATCTATCCATTACTTGTGAGGATAACCTCTAGCTAACTTCTATTATAACTAAGTGACAAGGCTCTTCCTGATGCACTATCTGGTGGTAGTCTCGACATATGTCCAAACCATTTGATCTGTTGTCCCTTGATGTATAGATTAGGACTAGTTCCACCACAAGTCCTTTTCTGGTATTATCATTTCTGATCCTGCTTCTTCTAGTTATATTTAGGATGCCCTGTAGATATTTCATTTATGTTGCTTCAGTTCTTTTGTTGTTGATGTCTATCCACATTTGGCACTAGTAACACCATGCTGGTGAGAATATTGTATTGAATAGTGCACTCCTGGTGTCAGCTGTTACGTGTTTTTGCTGCCAAACTGGTGACATGTGTCCAATGATTTGATTTGCTTTATTACATTTGCAGAGCTAAAGGGTTAACTGGGCACACAGATAATTTAGGACAAAGATCAGAAAGAGATGCATCAATAATTTTAAGTTATGATATGAGAAGATACAAACTGAATCAACTGGAAAGTTATTGATAATGTGAGGGGGGAGGGGGGTGGAAGAGGAATATTATAAAATAGATTCTTGAAGCCTTTTGTCAGGACACTAAAACATCAGCACATGAAACATTATCTTGGAAGACTTCAAATGTGGAGAAGCATGATTGCAGTTACCATTTGGCAAAGTATTTAATGACAACATTATTTAAAAAATTGTCTTACTTTTACATTTGATTGTGAAAACATAATCACAAAACAGTAGTACCAAAAATGGGACTAAGCAGGTAGATTTAAAAAAAATGATAACTTGTAATCTATATTTTACAGTTGTCTTTTTATCTTTACAGTGTACTGTCATATTCCTGAACTAATGAAGCATCTACAACTAAATTACAACTACTGGAAAGCACAGGAAGAGCTGAAAGACAAGGAAAAAGTTCCTGTACAAGGAGTGGACAATAGTTAGCTGAGTTCTGTCTCACTTTAGTTTACCTGCGCATTTTATATCCTCATTTACAGGTGACAGCTCAAGTGGCTGTAAGAAAATTAGACTTAACATGTCCATTATGCCTGGGGACACAAGAGTTGAGTTTCTGAAGAGACTGTCATCTGTCACAAATCAGCTTGCCTTAAGTGATGCAATAAGAGTTACAATGTGAGATGAATCTCCAAACTGTGTCTCTATGTTTTTGATTCCCAAAGACATGTAATACATTGGTAGTCTGTCAGATGGTTGTGATAGACTGAAGCATTTTCTTTGTCTGAAAACTGAAGGAATGATTTGTATTTTAGACATTTGGGTAAAGCTAACTCATTTTGTCATTATACCTCTAAGTTGCACCTCAGTCTGTCTAAACAGTTGCTATGTGTCATAAACTGAAGGAGGCAATTTCCAGAGGTATTTATATATTGCTCATTACCTACAGACAGTTGAATGTCTGCATCAGACATCTGTAGTCCACTTTGTTCCCTGATCATCTAGTTTGTATAGCTTGTTCCCTGACTATGTTGTCTGTATAGTTTAATCTGTTCCCTCATGTTGTTTGTACAATAAACAGAGCATATTGTAAAGATATGTATTAATTGTCTATTAACATTTTTTTTAATGACACATTTTTCTTTTTCTCTGTACACTGGCTACCACAAGCACCAGCCACATCCCATTACACAGAACAGCAGGTTGCTTTGTAACTATTGGGTGCCCCATTATAATTGTGTCAAAGAGTTCAACAGGCTTTATGGGATCTTGTCCTGTTGGATTCACATCCAAAGAGTGGCTCTCTGAGTCATTGAGCATCAGTCTTTCAGGCTGTAGTCAGGGGGTTGCAACTTTTTTCTTTAAGGTCTCTGTCCATAACCATTAATCAATTTGTTACTTAGGCTCATAATGGGACTAAAGCATGAATAGTATAACACACTGTATATCTAATGTTCATGAACATAAGAATCTGATGAATTCAAGAGAAGTGAATAAACAAGAGAAATGACTGGGCAACCACTAGTATTAACAGTTATAAGACAGAGAAGATGGCGCTATACTGGATACATTTTGAGAAGAGACCAAAAAAGAGAATCACCAAACAGGCGCTGAAATAGGAAAAAGAGGAACTGAGGACAAGAGGACACACAATGGCAACTCTAATACAAACATTGAGGAGAGAAGCCAAAGGTGCTCTGTTGGATTCCATCTATGATACTGAAGTGATTGCACAGAATAGAATAGACGGAATAATATAGACTGTAAGCCCCATGTGCCATACAATGGCACAACAGGACATTGAATGAATGAAGGAATGAATGAATTAATTAATTAATGAATCTAACATTCATATCAGAAAAAAAGCAGTTAAGGAGGTTTGGTGTGAAACCTTACCCTTTAGACAAGTTTGGCTGCAAAGTCCAACCAGTCAAAAGCAAATTTACAAAGAACATAGCATGAGTTGTTTGGGGAGCCTTAAGGCAGAAAAGGAAGAAATTAGCATTTTGTTGAGATGTTATTTAAATAAGATTTCTCACAAAATGAATTAACAGTAATGGTATAAACACATCAGCAGGTAAAAAACCTTTCCAGATGACAGTGTTATATTGGGCGTGAGAATCAGTGTCTCTGACTGTTCTTAAAACAAGTCTTTATTACAACATCCGATGTAAGCGGTATAAAATTAGTCTAGTGAAATAAATCTGGAGTTAATATAATGTTGTTTCATCCCAACATTCAAACAAATTGTTTTTACACCCGTCGACTATCATAACCTGTCAACCTGCTGATTCCTTACTTTAGTTAGCCCTGGGCATCATATGAATAACAACTAGACAAAATCCCTTCAAACTGTATATTATTTTAGTTAATTGCAACCACTGTTTATTAATTACCACAAAGATTATCCATCCATTGAAACAAATTGTCAATGCAATGAGCTTGAGTAAGCTAGACATGAGTATATAAGTTTGCTATTAGTTTCATAGCCTCATGAATGGTATAGACACAATGCAGAAGAAATTTCGGTGCTGGTGGGATGGGGGAGGGGTCTATTTTGTTTATCAAAACAAATCATTGTGGTGATGGCATTAATGCCATTGTTATTTTAGCTTGATTTCAAGCAATAATAAAAATCATCTTCTACTGAAATGATTTGTTTTTGTAGCTAGTTCTAGCTGTAGCTGTTACATTTTGTATGTATTCAGTATTCACCTTTTCATTATAGAATATTTTTTTTATCATATATGGTGAATAATTATAGGTTTTTTTTTATTTTATATAAAAGTATTGAAATTTAAAATTTATTCCTTCCAATAAATGTATTAATATTCATGAGGGCTTCACACAAGATTTCAGTATAAAGATCATAACATTCATCACTGCCTCAGTCTCTAGGTAAAAATTAATTCAATAAGGGCACTGTGAGGCAGTTTTTGTAGATATGCAAAAATATTAGGATAGCTTTAAAGCATACTTAACTGCAGGCTTTTAGCGCAAGGGACTTTGAATAATTTGTGCCATGGCATTCTGGCATTTGTTTATAGAAAACATATTTTAAAATGATAGAATTTATAGGGGAAAAAATCTTTACTCTCATGTATGCTCATTTAAAATGTGTACACTTTCTGTCCTGCCCGTCCAGTCCACATGGTTGAAACAGCAACCTCAGTCTTCTACTGTATGACTAAATCTTACAAAATAATTATACCCATGATACCATCTAACATTTTAAGGATTAATCCTTGGTTTAATACAGGTAAACAAGGTTTTACAAAAAAAATTGAAGTAATTTAAGGTCAGGATATTCAACTACAAAGTGTACTAAAGTGTTATGTGATAAACAAAACAATTGACTAGTAGTGTAAACTAAATTACTGAAAAATAAAAATGTATGCAAACACGGAGAGAAATATTTATATGAATAAAAAATGTCTTATAGCCTTCAAGCTAATATATTAATTTTTGAATTAGATTAATGACGAGTTGTTTAATATAAACTTAAAAAATAAATTAATCTTTGTTCTAGCCCATTCTAGCTAGCATATGTTATCATTCATGGAAATTAATGTGTTCTCCCAATAACCCTGGATGTTTATTAAATTCTGAATACTTATGCTGGTCTTGTCAATTTTATCATACACTCAAGCCACTAGTGGCATCTTCCTCATTAGTTTCAAAAGTCCTTTATGATAGGTAGAAGATGGCTATAGTATGTTCCAAAAGTCATGACCAACTTTCAAATCTTTAATTTGGCATGCAACCTGTTAATAACCATGTCCAAGTAGCAAAATAATTATAATGTAAATACAAATCTTGTTTTTATTTTGCCTTATTTGTGGCAGGTGAAAAACAGACAGCATTTTAAAGCATGCAGTTAGCATGTGTACGGTAAGTTACTTGGGGTGAAGTTGGTAAAACATCAGACTGTATATGTTTTGGGGGTAATCGGTGCGAGAAACTAAGGCAAGCAAATTTTTATTAGAAACGTGAATACTGTTGTGTCCTACCATAATACTTGCTGACTGGTTCATAAAAAGTACATGATGTACATGGCGTATGTCAATTAATGTGTAATCTTTTTGTTTATTTAGGGATATACAAATTATTAGTCCTACAAAGATTAAAAAAATTCGCCATTGCAAGAAAACACCACCACCTGTGAAATTGTAAATTATGAAATCTTAAGTACATGGGAATCTAAAATCACTTGCAAAAATTTATGTTTATCTGTTCACAAGTTTTTGACACATCTGTTGAGACTTCTGGAACAAACTATAAAGGCAGTCAAAAATGTTATTGTCAGCATCTTTTCAGACAGTACTATTTCACTGTGCTATATTGTGGTGTGTGAGTGGCAGTCAATGGTGACAGCAAGTGTCACTAACAAGACCAGCTTGTACTGTATTTGGAAAATGTGTCCACAGTAAGTGGATTTTAGAACCAGTGTTGCCATTGTATGTTACCGTATCTTCTTAAACCCTCAGCTAAACTGATCTGCAGTCATTTTCTTCATTGTCTATATTACCCCTACCTGCAGCTAGATCCATGACATCTTGTTACCATGAATCTGTATCAGTATCTGTGCCATTCTTGTCCTACTTGCACACACTGTTATATCATTGTTGAGGCAGAACCTGAGATCATCTTCTTCTTTCTTCTTTTGTCATCTCACTGTTACCAGGTTGTGACTCAGTGTCATGATTTTCTGTATTTGTCTTGAGCTTCTAGGGTGATTTGGGTGATGGATTTGTTCAACTTTTTGCATGTTCAATCTACACCTTTTATCAATATATTTCTTGGTCTTCCTCTCGCTTTCCTCCCAGATGGTCCACTGTAAAAAGTCTCATATGTAGTCTGGTCTGGCTGCATTCTCACTAGATGGCTGAACTATTTCATTCTTTGTGTGTCAGTATAATCCAGAAATGGTCTTATTCCAACTTTCTCTCTAGTATTGGTATTCGTAACCCTGTCTCATCTAGTGTTTGTCAGTGACCTTGCGGAGACAGCACATTTCACATGTAATTTTCTGTTCCAGTGCCGTGTTCATTGTTTGGCACTGATAACATAAAGTAGGGATAAAGAAGCTATTAATCATTTGCTGTTTTGCTGGAAGAAAGACATCTGGGTGTCTAAGCATTTAGGATCTTCTACCTGTCTGTAATTCATCGTTAATTATGTTCTCGGTGCAGAAGCAGGTAATAAGGTGGCAACCGAAATAACTCAACAGTATGTGGTAAATAACTCAGAACATAAATAGATACCAACAAAACATTTATAATATGTTATTACTGAACATGTACATGCAGGCTGACTAGCCTACTACAGCTAACAATAGCTGAATGAAGGCATGGTAAAACTAGAAACCTCACTTAAATGAGACACATACAGAGGTGAGGCAAACATTTTTACCAGACTCAACAAACAAACAAAAAACAAGAATACATAAACAAACTGAAAATCCCAACAAGTAATCAAGTTTCAATTCC